CTTTTCTTGAGGTTCTTTGTTGCTCTTGGAAGATAAGCGTGTTTGTCTTCCTATTGTAAATCTTCTATTGATGAGTAAATGAAAGTGTTATTGATCAAAAAATAAAGTTCAATTGTTCATGAATTATGATTCGTGTATGCAGTTCACAAATGATTCTGCTCCTAAATCATCCAAATTCTTGATCTTATGAGAAATGTACCCCTAGACAAGTGGTTTAGGGTACTTTAATCCTATCTTTTTTTTTTGATCAATGTACTTTAATCCTCTCTCCTGTCTGCAAGATCTTATCAGAGCTTCTCTTTTGAAGTTTTGATTATAGGTACTTGTATAAATCTCATCCATATTCAAGAGAAAGATTTTATTTTGATCTTTTCTTGGCCTATGTACATTGTTCACATAGGTATATTTTTATTTTGGAGCTCCAGTCATAATTGGTTTCTTTTGCATCATGTTATTGTTATGTATTTGTTGCATTGCCGTCTGATTTTATGCATTGTTGCAGCTTTTCTTTCCATTCCATATCCCTTCCATACTGCATTTCATTTGTAAGGGTTTTCATTTTCAACAAGTTTTTAGGTTTTCTGCATTCATATTTAGTCTTTAGCTTGTTTTTATATTCCAAAGTATTGCTGCCACAGACAGCTGTTTCTTATCTGGATAAATTTTACAGGGGCAGACCAAAGCAAAACGTCTTGCATCATTGGCTTCATCACTGGCTGATGTTAAATGTAAGCTTAGCTGCCAAAATTAACTGTAAAACATTGCTTGTACTTTATCTTTTCAAAAATAAATAAATAAATAGATGAGTGTGATCATGTAGTAAACTGATTGTATTGTATTGTTTTGTTTGCACTGTTCATCATTTAGTAAACTCTTCGTATAAAAGAGCCACCACAAGTCTTCTGTTGGAGGGTCTGAACAAAGGAGTTGCAGTCGTGGGCAGGGTGCTACTCTTCATTAATCATGAGAATTTGGCTCCCTTGTAAGTCCTTATTATTGTAAATTCCCTACTAATTTATACATGCTCGAGGTAATCATGTTTGCATTGGACATTGCCTTACATTAGATGATTTTGGAAGTTGCCAATTGCTAGTAATGACAATGCTCAAAACCTTTGTTTTATTTTCTTTTTCAAAATTTCTTGGGAATATAGCTTTATTACTGAGGTGGAAACATTTTGGATTGTATTTGGTGTTACAGATACTATTTGGTATGTGATTCAGATCAGACTTGTTTTGTTCTCTCAGTCTATGGCCTAAGGAATGATGTGGTAAGAATTGGCTTCTGTACCAGTAGTTTATGCAATCTGTTCGCAAACATACAAATTGGTGTTTCCAAGGATCTTTATGTGATATCTTGTTTTATGCTATAATGGTATTCTTGTGGGACTTTAAAGTGATAATGTAGGCAAAATGTTTGTTTTATAATTTTAATAACGGTATTCCATTAACAAATCTATTTTTCTATTATAATAAATGTATTCAGATATTAAAGGACACAAGTTTTCTCCACCTGAGACAACTCAAAATCTTCACCCACATTATCAAAAACTCTGGAAATAATTGTCAGAGAAAGAAATGACATTATAATCTCTCTGTGTAAAAAAAAATGTCGATGAAGTTATTTGTCACCCGCGTTGATGCCAATGTCTCTTTAATAGAGAAAAGCGAAGATTTTAACTCCAGGGAGTACAATATCAACTCTCCCCTTTTAGCAAAATACCACTATAGGGTTAAAAGCTCCATTCTGAAATAAAGATGAAATTGGCCGCAACTTTCTCAACTAACTTAAAATCCATTGCAGCAACAACTCCTCACTGAAAATATTTGACTTTCATGTTTTATCCACGTAATTGATCTGCTGTTTTAGTTTGTCCCTGTTACTTGTTATCAATGCTGCAACATTTTTCTGTGTGTGCATGTATTATGTATGTTTTTACTCGAAAGTTGATGGTTAAGAAAGCTGGAAAAAGATGAGCAGTCTCATGTTTTCATTATGGTACATGTACATCAAGCAGTGCCCTTGTGAAGCCAGGCACAACATGAGCCGTGTCCCCAGTTGGGCAGTGAACGTTACTGAGGTCCTCCAGAAATTTGATGAGCCCAGGATTAAACTGAGATTCTTTAGCAATCTAACCAACAATGATAATCACTATGCAACCATATTTCCTTTGGTGCTGCAATGTTTTCCTACAAACAACATTAAATCAACCTTGTTCTTACTCAAGAGATATTGATTTTGGTGTGACTGACTGAAGATTTAATGGCCACAAGCTGAAAAGCTCATTGCTTCTAGTTGACAGGTCTGTGTGCATTTGACTAGCTAGTTTGAATAAAGTGACTGGTTCAAACTGCCCATATGCTACATAATGCCCTACAGTTTGTATTTTTAAATTGAAGTTCAACTAATGCACAAGGGGTTCTTAGAACCTGAGGGGCAAAGTGCAAGGGCCAGGAGTGCCTGAACAAAAGTGATATGTTACCTATTGAAAAAAGATTAAAATAAAACTTATATTTGACACTATACAAACCTAAAATATCAAAGAAATAAAATCATGTTAAGTTAGAGCTTTGTGTTAAACGTGAAGATTGTAGCATTGTAGGCTCAAGTGTTACATAGGTTAAACTGTTTGATCTCTAAATATCATAGCTTGATGTTAATTTATCAACTAGTCATTTGAGGTGAACCCTGCAAAATGAGTCTCACCTTTTAACAGACTGTCCAAAGTTTAATCAATAACTTATCTCTGGCAAGTAGTAAGACAAGTTAGAAATGCTTATTCTCACTTCCGCAAGTATGGACTGTATTTGGTAGAAACTACTTATCGTATCCAATAATTAATTGCATTGACAATGCCAGCTCCAACCAGAGAACTAGCATTGGCTACCTGGTCTCTTTCCTATTTTGTCAGGTTGGTTCGTGTTTCCCATAGTCGGGGGGGGGGGGGACAGGAGTGTAGGTTCAAGAAATGGCACTCAAACTTATAATATTACAGTTCATATTACAGAATGTGACCTATTTTAATTTGAATCCCTATGTATTTTTTTTTCTTTCAAAAATGAATATGGATTTTAACAAACCTTACCTTTTCTAGGATTAAACAATTGTCAATTTATCATTTGGAATTTATGGCCCCACATCTGTTTGAAGTTTCCTCACCCACCATAAATATGTGTATCTTGCTTTCATTTGCTCTTTTTAATTTTCATTATAATTTTAAACATGTTGGCTCTGATGTACACACATGGTTAAGATATCTCTAATTTCCCTAACATTTCCATTCCCATGGGTCACATGAAATTTTACCGAAATCGACATGTTCCCTAGTGAATACTATTAGCACTATGTGGAGTACAAGAGAGCTTCCACAACTTACATATTCTTCAGTGAACACTACAAGCACTATGTGGAGTACAAGAGATAGTATTATGACATATGTTGGTGACAATATTGTAGATTTGTAGATATGTGGAGTAATAATGTTATTGCCTGCCTAACTTACATGATTACCACTTTGAGATAGCTCAGTATTCATTTCAAGCATGAAGTTAGATATTAGTTTTTGTTTGTGTAATAGATTATTTGGTTGGTCTATTACAACCATTTACATTTCCTATGAGTTTAAATTTTGATTTTAACCCATTCTATCATGAAGCTCTGAATCTTAAGGTTTACATGGCAACTTCTGAAAGTATCCTTTTGACTATAACCTTAGTTTCTTAGCTTTGTTTAGTGATTTTGGAACAAGGTAATAATTTAAAAAGGTGTCTATGCTTCTTTTATCATTTCATAAAATATCATTCATATTTTGCATATTTTACAATGTTTCCATCATGTCTCTAATTTTTACAATATTTCCGAAATTTCTGACATTTTAAACCTTGGTAAAACAAAAGTCAAAAAGGTTAGTTGTGGATTTCTAATGTAAAAGGAAAAGCATCAAGAAAATTAAGAAAATTCCAAGTTAATTATTTTTTAACTTCTAACCCTAAAACTTGAAGGTGCAGGTGATAATAAATATATAAAATATAGAAGGGCCCATCTATAAACTGACTGGGTTATATATATATATAGATAGATAGATAGATAGATAGATAGAGAGAGAGAGAGAGAGAGAGAGAGAGACTCCTATGCTGAGGAGAGACTAATTAGCAGTGAGGCTCCTTTCCCTGTCCCTATGATTCTTTGTCATTTTCCTACCAAATTCCTATAGGTCTTATATTTGTACTGAATCTGTTCTGACAATGGGGTCTTGAATTGGTCATTATTCAAATTGGCCACCTGAAGGATTCTCCAACTGGTAACAATAAAAAAACAAGTAAACGAAAGATTTCCCAACTAGTAACGATAAAAAAAGAAGTAAAAAAAAGTCCCAACTGTCAATGGTCAACTGGTTTCATGATTCCTGCTTCAAAGTTTCTTAGTATCGAGGCCTGAAGCTATCTGCTTTTCTACTTCAGTTTCACAAGTTCTTCATTTCTTGTCTAAACTTGCATGCCAGCTTTATCAGAGTAAGGGATAGTATATTCTAGAATGAGCATCAGAATCCTTTGAAGACAATGAAATTAGGAATGTGCATTAGAATTGTCTTGTGTTCTGTGCTAATAAAATGCAAACAAACACCTTTCACAAATGTGTCCCTCGTCCAGAGAATTGCAATTGTGAAAACTGATCGTATTTGTCATACAGATTAAAGAGGGAGATCGGCTGACATTATTGGAACCTTGTTATCGTGGTATAGATTTTACTTGGAAGGGAAAGGTACATATTTCAATCTCATACTTAAGTTTGTTCTTCCTTTTACTTGATAGGATAATTTAAGTTGAAGTAAATTGGAACCTAAATTAAAGAAAGTACAAGGTGATTTACCATGAAGAAAGGTAATACATGTCCTGAACAAGTTATTTCAACATTGACTGGGTTCATGATATGTAGATTTCTGTCAATGAGTAAATGATGCAATGTAATTACCTAATCTTTATTTCTGGTCTTCTGTCTATTTTTTCTTGGGTACTCCAAAGCAGCACTACAATTTCAAATCAATCCGTGTCGATTTTTTGGAACAACTTTTAGTGAATGGGAAAGCTCCGTCTCCTCAGCAGGCAGTTTGCACATCCATATATGCACAACATAAACCTTAAATCATTTGAAGTGAAGTTTTGTGAATTATCTAGATTGATTTTTTAATATTTTATCTTGATTTGCAGATTTTATAGTATGTAATTATAAACACAATAGGAAAAGTAAATCGTCTTGAAAAGCAACCAAGGTTGTAAAACAGGAAGCATCAAGTTGTTTGTTTGATTGAGAACATATTGTTGCTTTACCATCATTTGGTGCTGCTGAGAAGCCTCTCTCTCTGTGTGCTTGGTCAAGTAGCTGTAAGGAGCTCGAGTTCTTTTTTCTATTGGCTCCTAAGAGTAGGAACCGAAGTCCTTTTACCCGCTGAAACAAGCCCAAGTCCTGGAAACTAGGACCAAGCCAAAAGCTTTAAAATCAGGAATAGACCCGAGCAGCTGGTCGGGTCCGAGCATCAGATCGAGTGACACCAAGAATTTGTTTTTTAAAGCCAAAAGGATTACTGTTCAAGTACATAGCATTATAATGGTCCCTCAACAAAGCAAATAACCACTCTGGAGGCCTATGCGGCCAGCACCCATTTGGTAACGATCGACTAGCACCATTAAGGTTCCTTCTAACGAAGATCCAATATTTTATACCTTCTCAAAATGAGAAATTTCCTGCAAAATATCAACAGGTAAGAACCAAATATTAGACAATACCGCAGAGCTTCTATCCCTAAAATATTGGACCAAAGACCAGCTGTCAATCATGATTTATATGAATTTGTTTTGCTATAAGTCTGACGGTTAAATTGAGGAGAGAAAAGACCATTGGAAGCAGCTGCATCAAACTTTTCCACAGGTCCAGAATGATTTTTTTTCTCTCCCTAATTTGCTGCCTAATAAAATTTTGACTATTCTTTAAGGCACTCAATTATGACAATCTTCTCATTAGGTATCAACTATTTGATAGAAAGGTTCAAAATATTGTAATGTGTTTTTTTTTTAATAAAAAATTGCAATGTATTGAATATAATTGATTTTAGTGACCGACTACTGAATAAAAGAGAGAAAAGAAAGGGTCCCAATTGATGAAGGGAATCTCTGCTCCCGGAATAGTTTGATACCGGAAGTGCTTTAATCAATCAAACCCCTCTCAATGATTTTGATAAGGGCAAATTTCTTAAATTATTCTTACTATTTAGTTAATTGACGACTAACTCTATCCTTACTGTTTACATATTATCTTAAACTATTCCTAACTTTTCTGACAATTGACTAATCCTCCTCTCCTGTTAATTTTCTGTTACACTCTGTTGCACGTAATGTCATGTGACATATTTTTCAAAAATTCCTAAAATACCCTTCCATTTTAAAAATCGGAAGATAAAGGTGGAGTAATGTAGGTTGAAAAGGGGCGACTACCCACAGTGGCAACTCGTAGATGTATCCGTGGCATCCATTTTGCTCAAGTTCCAGTCGTTCAAGAGAGATATCGGCCATGGTTTCAGCAGTTGTGCCCCTGCCCGGCTGCAACAAGGACCAACCCATCTCTCGTCTCTCATATTCTCCTTCCTTTTCTCTCTCCATCCACTTCGTCCATGAGGATCAAAACGCGGCAGCTCTGATCTCCCCCTTCCCGAAGACAACCACCACCATCTTCATCCACCCTCCGATTCAGCCCCTAGTCCACCCCTCGAACGACCCAAGCTAGAGGATTGACAACACTCCAATCTGCACCTCCAATTAAGCAACACTCTTTCAAATTCTTTTTCTTTTTTCTTTTCAGATTTTTCAGGAACAGGGACGGCTATAGACTTCTGATTATCACAAGAATTACGAATGATTTATGAACACCAAAAGTCTTGGATCTGTGCATTGCACATTTGGTTTCATAAACTTAACAACAAAAGCAACAGAAACTCCTGACATGAGTTTGATTTTGCAAAGCATTATACGAAGTTCGAACAGTCAATCAGTATAATTGTTAAGAAAATCATAGCGGCATTCAATAAAATTCTAAAAATGAACAACCACTGATAAACCCCAATTCAGTAAGCACCAAAAAAATAGAAAAGATTAAGCTGGAAAGCATAAGCAGATCTAATAAGAATAAAAAAGATAATGATAAGATATAATCCGAACTCCTAAAGTCAATAAAGAGAGTTAAAATACGGGAAAATTTCCGATTAGTACCCCGTACTTTGGGCCTAGTGCCACTTTGGTTCCCAAACTTTAAAATGCAACGATTCAGTACTTAAGCTTTCAAAATGTGTCAATCCAGTACTGTTAAGTGGCATTTGAAAAGCACATAAGTGCCCTTCGAGTGTCATCTAATTTTCTTTATCAACCATCCAAACATTGACAAAAAATTAACAGCCCCAAATCCTTGCCTTTTCTATTCAAAAAAGTTAGAGTTACGTTTGAGTGGGCATTCTGGTGACTCCAACTTTCTTGAATATAAGAGATAAGGATTTGGGGCTGTTAATTTTTTGTCAATATTTGGATAGTTGATAAAGAAAATAGAAAAATATGGACAGGCTGAATGCAGATTTATGATTCCCACTGCAAAGCTATAAACATTCAAAAAGTCCAAAAACCACACTCTATGCACCCATACTTGCTCGTGAATTGGCATCAATTCCGAGTTGGCACCTACCCCAAATGTACTTTGAGCCTATAAATTCTGACCCTGGGGTTATCGGTCATTCTCCCTAAAGAAAATTATATGACACTCGAATGACACTTATGTCTTTTTCAAATATCACTCAACAGTTGCTTAACAGCAGGTACTGGATTGTCATGTTTTGAAAGTTTAGGTATTGAATTGTTGCATTTTAAAGTTTGGGGACCGAAGTGACACTATGCCCAAAGTACATAGTACTAATCGGAAATTTTCCCTTAAAACAAACTAAAATTTTATCAAGAAATGTAGCAAAGAAGATTGGCCAGAGTTCTATGATGAGGCCCTGTTTGAGAACACTTTTAATAAGCACTTCTTTTAAGAAGCACTTCTTTTAAGACATGGGACCACACATTAAGTGGTTTTTAAGTACTTATGGGTGTTTGGTAAAAAAGTGGGAAAATTACTTTTTTTGAAGTACTTCTTTGAAAAAGTGATTTCAAATTGGCTTTTTTTAAGTACTTCTCCAAAATATTAGGACGAACCAGTCCCTGACAAATTTGTATAATGACTAAAATACCCCGCAAGGATATACCTCCCCCTTCTCCACTCATTCGATCCTCAAACCCTAGCAGTAGCGGCACACCAGTTGCAGGTCCACCGGCAACGATTGGTGATGAGGAATCGTGGCTGGTGGACTTGTCGTTTGGCCTCTTTCCTCTATGCTTTGAAGTCAGATCTCTAAAACATAGCTCGTAGCTCGATCTCAGATCTCTGAAACAGAACTCAATTTAGTTGCCATCGCCGCTCGGGTGTCAAAGAACTGAAAGAGAGACGTTCAACCGCCGTTGGTTCTCTTTTGGAGAGGAAGATGAACAGTGTCTTGTTCGTGGTTCAGGAACAAAAACAAAGAAGAAGAAGAAGAAGAAGAAGAAAAGGAGAGAGAGAGAGAGAGAGAGAGAGACTAAGTAGAGGTTGTTGATGCTCTCTATCGCTCAAAGGGAGAATAGGGGAGTTACGGCGATGACAACCTTCCCCTTGTTCATCGTCTTATTATTATTATTTTTATTGAAAAGTATTGTATATATGTATGAGAGAAGTGAGGGCTAAAATTGTCATTTGAATTAATATAAGCACTTATGGAAAAAGTAACTTACCAAACATTCACACCCTAGTAAGTAATTAAAAACATAATAAATGATTTGAAAATATTACTTACCAAACAGCCCAAAGGGTTGTTAAAACAAGTACCTTTAACAACTAATTAATCACCAAAGAGGGTCTCAATGTTACTGTCCAAAGGGAAATAAAGGAAAAGAGTACTCTGATTTTGATCAAGAGACTTTGGAGGTGTAAAATAGGATTCGTTCTACTCATTCTAAAGAGTTAAAAAAAAAAAAAAAAAGAGACAGAGCGTGAAGGAAGCATTGATAGAGAAATTCTAGGGTTTGAACGAAAATGCAAATCAGAGGGAGTTTGCCAAACTGGATCGGGTTCAACCGGGATTTGTTGCAATGGTGGGCGTAAGGCGGTGGTTGAGTGGTGAAACAGGATAAACAGGGGTTGAGGAGGGAGAAAATGAGAGAAAGAGTATGAAAGTGAAGAGAGACGAAACCGACTAGGAGAGGATCGCCGCTGCTAATAGTTGCAGCGGCAGTGGCGAATAAGAAATATAGAAACGAAGAGAGAGAGAGAGAGGGAAGAAGAAAATCGCCACTGGTCTCGTTCGATTCGCTGTTGTGGAGAGCTCGGTTTGCCGTTTACGAAAGGAAGAAGACGGTGAAGGAGGAGAAGAAAGAGACGGAGAGGAAGAATGCATACCATTATTGTCGTCAATCACTGACGAATGACGATAATGTTTCATGGGTAATTTAAAATATAAGTAATTTAGTCAATTGTTAGAAAATTTAGGAATAATTTAAAATAATAAGTAATTTCTATCTAAATAATAAGGATAGTTCCTTTTCAATAAATACCATATGTTCATTGGTCACAATTTTTCCAAATAACAAAGTCAAACCCTTGTATAAAACTCTTGATACGTGATTTTTGCATTTTGAGAGTACAGATATTTAGTTTGGAGCTTTTTGTTACCAACTTGAACTCTTTCATACTACACGTAATTGTCACAAAGGCATTTTGACTTTGGCATAAAGAAAGCATATTTGATTGGGACTTGGCCAGTTGGGTAGATCGACTTAAAACAGAGACAGCACATTTTGAGTGCACTTGTACTTCAGTTCTTCTATGTGATGACTAATGGTGTTTACGTCTTTGAAACTATAACGAACCATTATATGTAGTATGTTTTGTACTAATTCCTGATATCATGGTTTAAGTTTAAGCATTATGGCTCAACACCTACACCATACGACTGTAATCATAAAAAATTAAATAAAATCTAATGGCTGCCGTAACCCGTAAAATGTAATGGTATCTAGAGTTCTAGACTCGGGAAAATGACAATTTCTTTTGATAACTAAAACAAAAAAAAAGAGCAATGAATTACCTCACCATTTATTAGAGGTCGAAATTCTAGTTTAGTATGAAAAACTGGTACAACCACCTCGGTTAATAATATAATTGTTATAAACCAACATATCCTGCTAAATCTATACACGCATATGCACGTGTCATTAAAGATGAGTTGCGGCAACATGTACATAAAAAAAAAAAAAAAGCTCGGGCGTCTAGGCCGACCTGCAGCAATACATGAAAGGAGCTTCCAATACTGTAAATTTGGGAGCCACCAGCTGAATCAGTCCCATTTACCAAAGATGCGACAATTGTAACATACAGCAAACAACCAAATCAAACCAAAAGGAAAGACGCTGTATCACTGGGGCTTGTAGTAGCCACTTTGATGAGGGGGAGGGTAAGGACCTGGAATGGTGTATGGTGGTGGAGGATGTGCTCCAGGTTGTTGTGGATGGGCATTGTAGTATGGGCCCCGCCACCCCGGATATGCAGGTTGCCCATACTCAACTGGCTGCTGCTGCTGCTGAGGCTGTTGAGGTGGGTAAGGATTAGCAGCTGCTGGGATGTGATAAGGTAGTTGTACAGGCTGCTGTGGGGAGGTATATGGGGGGCGAGGGTGAGCATATCCAGCGGCCACCGGTGGCTGCTCCATTGTCTGGTAATAAGGGGTCTGGGGACGTGAAGGATATGAGGGAACCTGAGGATCTGGCTGCTGCTGATTTCTCTGAGTTGGGTATTGTTGCCCAACTGAAGGGTAGTTGCTGTTATAGCCACTGCCACTCTTGCCATCCTGGAAGCTAAGACCAGCCAATTGCCTCTGTACATCTTCGATCATTTCTCGGCACTGGATATTTCTAGTCATCACAAAATCACTGCACTGCTGCTTTATGTTTGTGATTGCATCCTGATAAATAAATCATAAAACATTATTTATTCATCCATCCTTTTTCATGGGTAGCCTGTCTTCATGATTTAAAAGAAAATAATCATGTTTATAGGTGAAAACTAAAATAAAATAAATATCCCTTTCGTTGTAGCATGGTCTTTGTTCACAAGTATATAGTTATACACTGCATGCAACGTAGACAGAACATAGTTAAAACAAAGCCTACATGACCTTAACCTGAATTCAGGTTTAAGCTGGTGACCATGCACTGGTATAAAGTGCCAGATAACATAATTAGGCATCTAATTTCTATTATTATAGGATGTTGTATGGATGTTAAGAAATGACACTGAAAGAAAATTGTTACCTGAAGGGTAACATAAAACTTCAGTCCTTCGTTAATGTTATCCTTGATTTCCCGGTACTTTGTTATGGCAGCTGCAATCTGTTTATATGTCTTCTCACGAGATGCTGCATCCACATATCACCCAGGGTCATAGCAAAAAGCTTCTCAGTAATCTTGCACTACTAATAACAATTGAATACAACTGAAAGGCGGCCTTACTCTGGGCAATCACAAGTTGAAGTGGCTGAACTGAATGACTTATTCCTCGTCTTTTTAGTATATGTTATTAAGTAGGTTATGAGCTTTAATAGCCAAATGGTAATGTTGGGTTAATTACCAATTTACCATACCCCTAAATATTTTACTGACTAATTTATCCACTAAAAGAGGAAGCAATTCAGCCACTTTGGCCATTACCAAGGTGGTAAGGCTGCATTTGGTTTGCTTTCAAACAATTAATTCTGATGATGAATTTTGTGATAACAATGATCACTTAAAAGTTTGGATTAAAAACAAGCGTTGGAACTATTTCTTTTTTCTTTTTTTCTTTTTTTTTTTTTTGAGTTGGAGGGGGGGGATCAAATCTCGTTATAAGAATTGATTCTTTGAAGCTAAAAATTTAGCTTTAAAAAAGAATCATTTTTTTCTCAGAACTCATTCTTCAAATGGTGGTTTGATTCTTTGGAACAGAATTGTAACAAAAAATAGCCTACATATTGACAAGGCCAGCAGCTTCGAACATCCAATTTTCCACAAATGAGAGGCTCATCAATAGCTTTGTCATCTGGGTAGCCTCTCTGAATGTCAATTACACAACTTACTAGAAAACTTAGGTGACAAAAAACAAAGCTAGATACCACAACCATCACTTTATCAACTATAGCAGTAAATGTATAAAAAAAAATCAAAATTAGGATGTTTGGCAGGCATCATAACAAAGATGAGAAGCAGCAGCATTAGAATCATGCCTTCCAGACAAGCATCCATTTTCAATGCCAATCAGGAAAAGTGTCAAAACTTTAAAAGCTCAACAGGTGGACCAAGATTTCTGTGTCTTTTCACTAAATGCACCAAAATAAACACCTTGGGAGCATGTAATCAAGGAGGGTGTGTAGGCTTCTTTCCCTGCTTGCATTAAAAGGATTACACGACAAATGGTATAAGCAAACTGAACAGATACATATTTAAGCACCTAACATACACACATGATCAGAACAAATGCATGAATTATTTCACTTCTGAAAGAGAAATTATAAGAGGAATATTCATAACTAATAAGCAGTGAATTCATTTAACTCAACCAAAATAATTCCACAAAGATCTGATGCAACAATGCATGATGCCCACCTTTGTAGTCTTCAAGATTAAAGACAGCAGAAAATTCATCATTTTGGGCCTGGAGACAAAGACAATTTTAAATATATTAGCATTATGATGGTCCACATAAACACATGGACACACACCCCCATACACCCTTTATCCATTTTATCTCAGAATGATATTTCCAAGATTATGATAACAGAAACAAGCAATACAACAGAAAGCAGAAGTGACATGTTGCGCTCCTATGCATGCATGATAGCTCATGCAAAAGGAAAATTCTGGTTTGAACCACTCTTATCTTAATTCATCATCACAAAATAAACATGAAATTCGAAGTTTCAGACTATTAAGTGTCAATACCGAAAATATGGATGGACTGTAAGCAGGAGAAAGGAAATATAAATAGAAATAGAGAGAATTGGTAACAAAAGCATTCTTTATAATGGCTATAACATGTATTAATCACCCAGTCATTTGTCCCAGTAACAACAAAAGAATGTCAAGTAAATCCCTAGTTCATGGAAAAGAAATAATATGACCTGGATCTGAAGCAATAATTGTTCTTGTGCTTCAATATTTTGGGCAATTTCTTCACAGATACTATCATATTTTGATATCTCCTTCTTGAAAAGATCCTCATATGAACCTGTAGATGTCATCAGTTTGGGCAGTATGTCATCCTGCAAATAAAACACCATAAGCATCAGTAACAAAAAAGGAAACTTCAGATTACTTAAAACAAGGTTGGAAAGAAGGCTCAATAGAATCCAATCAATTAAAACCTAAGAGTATGACTTAATATTATATTTCATTATGTTGTCCAAAAGCAAAGCATAGAGCAAAATTATATGGAATACCATTTCCAGATGCATGTTGTCAAACATTTCATTTAATAAAGAAAGTGGGTGAGCAGGATGGAAGAAAGGGTTAAAATTTTAGTCCAAAAAGAAAATAACACGGAGGTTTAAGTCATTATCTTTGTTGTCAACTGATACTGGAAGCCAATAAATTATCACCATTTTTTTATCAATAACTCAAGAAGAATTTATTAATTTAAAAAAAAAAACGCAGAGAAGCAAGACATTGTGGAAATTACAACAGACACCAAGTGTCTATACACCCGAAACATATTACAGTTGAGCCCAAAACATACTCTGTCTCTGAACCCCTTGCTTAGCTAGACCATCTGCCAATCTGTTGGCAGATCTTCTAACCCAATTAACCTGAATAGACATGCCCCTAGAGTGCCATTTGAAATGCCTAC